GGCTGGCACATGCGCGAGGGCGCGCCCTACTACCCGGCGCTGCAAGCCACGTGCGGCTTCGAGAAGGGCGAGTGCTTCGCGGTCGTCTTCAAGCCGACGGGCTTGCTGAGCCGCACTGCGGAGTGGTTCGTCGTCGACGTGGCCGACCAGGCCGTCGTCTTGCGCGGCAAGGCGCCGCTTTCGGAGCTGGAGGCGATGCAGCCGATTGAGATGGACGTCGACGCGCTGCGGCGGTTCGTCGTCGAGGACGACATGAAGAAGGAGCGCTAGACGCTCCCGCTCCCCGCGTTCGCTTGCCGCCGGTTTAGAGGCGTACCGAGCGACCGATTTAGAGGCGCACACCGCGCTGGGGTGCACCGTCGCAGCCATCCATCATGACACATGAGCGTCCGCGGGCGGCTCTATTCGCTATGTCGGCCCCTCACCCCCTTGGTCTCCCCCTGATCGGCCCCTTCGTTCGTCTTTGGTCTTGCTGCATACCGTATCCTTGCCAACTGCGAAATTAAAAGCTGACGCCCCAAAATGCAAAAAAATGAAAAAAACACGAGAATCGAGAGAACGAGATTCTCATCACACCTCAAGAAGAGAAGAAATTACTGGTTGGTTTTCAAAAATCTCTCCCTGTCTCACCTACCCGTGTGAGAGAGATTTTATAAACCCGTATGTGGCTTGTGGGGGCCCGACATCTTTAGCTTGTGAGCCAGTTGTTGCTTGTTGGTTGGTTGGGCGCAGCGGGTCTCCCGCGACCCCGGCCCCTCTCGTAGCCGCAGCCGTAGCCGCAGCCCCAACTCTTGCCGCTCTTCCGTGTCGGGTTGTGACGAAGGGGGGGAGGGCAGGGGACACGGATTGAAGATCCCTCACACCAAGATCGTGCAGGGGTCGCAGAGTTTGACCGTTTTATTTATTTGTTTATTTATTTGATTGGTTGGATGGAAACACCGACAGCTTGGGCGCGTCCATGTATGGATGTCGAGGCTGGTGCTGCTGCTAGCTGCTGTTAGATCTACCTCCGATCCACACGGGGTACTCCCGTGCTAGGACTGACAGCAAGGCTGCTCTACGACCAAATACAGCCAAACAAACACTCAACAATACAGCCTAGTCTCCGGACGCCCCCGCCCGAGCGCCATTCTCTGTAAAAATTTCGCTGCTGCCAGCGCCCACCGTGTCTCCCGCCGCGGATGCATCGCGTTTCGAGCCGCAACGGACTTCCGCTGCACCGCCTCGGTATATAAAGAAGAAGCCTGCACCGGGCCAGGCCGGGCAATCAACAACGGGTAGGAAAGGCGGCCGGAAAAGAAACACAGTAGCGATCGCCGCTCTTCGGACTCTCTCTCCGCAGTCTCTAATAAATAAACAAAGAGTTGAAATAAATACAATAAAAAATAAAACGGACACGCCAAACGAGGGGTGCCCGGCCGGGTGGGAGAAGGACAGGGTCCCCGGGTCCCCACCTGCAAGAAGGAACGATCTTTCTTGGTTGGAATGACGATCTGGGACACAAGGGATTAACGGGAGCGGGGAGCGCATCGCGACACGGAGGGGGGCTGGGCAGGGTTCACCCACACGACAGGGTCCCAGGGATTCCTCTCTCGTATAGGACAGGTTGCACCCGGCGGCACGGGGGCAGGCGCGGGCCTCCTACTGGTTGCGCTCTCCTAGTTCTCCTGCTCCTGAGAAAAGGGACAGCGACAGGTTCGCAGCACGGAGGACTCCGTATTCCGCAGTCTCCTGCCGGTCTTCTCTCTGCAGCAATCAACAAAGGGGTATGAATGTATGTATGTAGAAAGATGAACAACAGTCAGGCTCGGACTGGACACCAACGCGGTATGGGTGGACGCGGGACAGATGATGACGACACGCACGAGCGACACACAGACACAAACAAGCTCACAAGACACACAGCCAGCTGGCTGCCACACACCCTGAGTTGGCGTACACATAACTCAAGGTGTGAAAGGCGGCGGGAAAAGAAACACGCGGGCTCAGTTCTCCTTCGTTCGGGGCAGCTCTCCTTCGCGTAGGTGGCCGCGCTCATCACGATTCACGAAGCGCGTGGCCGTGTTGCGCCGCTCGTCGAGGCAGCCACTTGATCTCGACGCAGAGGATCTCTTGGCTTTCTTGGGCCGTGTGTGTGAGCACCGTGCGCTGGGTGCGCTTGATTTTTTTTAGCAATACCAAACAACTCTAACACTCACACGTCATTTGGGGCCTGGAGCTTTGTTTGTTTGTGCGCTTGCCGTGCGGTCTGGGTGGGTGGGACCACTTCTATATACGT